TTGGGACTTCGAAATAGCGGGGTTCGACTGTATGTGTGTATTTGAATAAATCCTAAATTATTGAGATTCTCTTGATGAAAAAGCATCTATGTTAATGCATCGTCTTCTACAAATCATCCTCCCTAATAAATAATACATGAGAGACATCTCACAAGATAACTATTGAAAATCGATGTCAGCTGCTACTGTCTTCATTATATCAATTAGGTGTTGGTTTTTGGTTTTCATGTCCAAGAAGGTGTTAAAAAAACAAGATTTTGCGATAAAAGAGGGTGTATAATATGCGAACCAGCGAGCCATGGCAGCGAGTCATGCAGGTCAGAATCAAAAACAGTAATATGGAAAGAATTAACTGACAGGACCTAAACTAAAATGTTTATTTACAAAAAACAAAATGTGACAATAAATAACTTTTATTGTACCTTTACTCTGATGTGTAAGCTTTGTTTTCTTGAAAGTGCTGTTCAATAGAAACATGAAGACCCGGCTATGAAAAAGAACATTGGAAAACTTATGTTGTGTCCATGCCAAGTGCAGTAATCATTATTATTTTGGGCCAAACCTTGTCTAATAGAATTGTTTGAGGGTCCCCCCAGAGAAGACTTGGAGAAAAGTGCTCCTCAAAGTTACAATGCCTTTGGTTTAAAGGCAACCCCAGAGTTAAAAACAATAATTTAGTATTATTCGGATGTAACATCAAATCCCATACAAGAGGATAATTTATAACAAACCATAACCTTGTTGATCTCTGACCTCTGGTCAAATCTGGTGGACTACAAGGCTATAGTATCCCATTTTAATCAATAGATCCAAAAGCATGTAACAAGCATAATTCTTAGTTTTCCTATATGTATATTAAATTCTTAAGAGCCTCTTGTATTTGTTAAGCTTGACCAAATAATCAGTGAACTTCAGAAAGTAGAATAATTGAAAGCAATAGGTTTTTTTGAAGCGGGACAAAAAAAAAATGATCAGAGAAGATAAGTAAGATTTTCACTTTGTGGGTTTTCAAGAAGAAAACGCGGGCAAAATACCCTCAGAAATCCCTTGTAAACCTGTTGTATACCTGGACGGAACCGCGTCAAGACATAAACCAACAGAACATCATATTCGAAAAAGCAGATATTTTACTCACAAATGACTCGCTTGCACCAAAACGATAACCTGAATTACAGCCGTCTTCTCCGGCCGGTCGCTCACTTGCGGGAGAGAAAGAGAAGCAACGGGAAAAATTACATTAACACTTACTGTGAAAGCAAACATGAGGAAATGAATTATAAAACAACTCACTTTTTAGTTGTTTCCAAAGCATTCTTTTTTCCTTATGATATAAAAAAATAATGAAATAAATAGGCACAAACTTGTTAGCGTGCTTACCTATTTGCGATGTACTGATTACATACGCAGTGAGTATGCAGTGCCTACTAAGCGCGCGATAAGCGAAGAACTATAGCGCAAGAATGGTTACTCCCTGTCCTCAAGGAACTTCCCAATTCATAGTAACGAGACAAATAAAAAGGCAAATAAAAGGCTCGATAAAACAAGAATAAACGAGAATTTTGGTCAATACTCTTTCTTCTCCTCTCCCTTGTCCGCCATTTTGTATGTTTTGAAAATGACCATCGCCATGGTGATCATGTTATGGTTGGTGACGTAGACCATTGTTTTCGCTTCTTCCAAAACTGGCATACTCCCGAACTGGTCATTGTTAACTTGGAAACACTGGCTTAATTTTTAGGAAAAACGATAAGTGTTCAAAGGTAATAACAAGCGTAAAAAATTGTAATAATCATTTCTTTAATTGCCTATAACAACAAGGATTTCTTGAAATTAACCAGCGTCTATATACAACATTTATTGCGACTTAAATCTTTAAAAAATAATTATCCACAATAAGCACGATACTGAAAGCTTATTCAAAGTGCCACTTCTCGTACCTGAGCTTTCCAAACATGTCCACAACAAGTTTTTCATCGCGGCTTTGCCTAATAAAAGGTCATCGCTTCTTGAAAAAACAATACGAAGTTTTGCTCTCGCTGCTTATACCTCAAAAGCGTTGGAATATTTTATTTAGCTCTGAAAACGACCGCTTTTTTCAACTTGCTCGTCATCGAGCAAAATCATCCGCCATGTTTGAGCTATACTGGTTACCAGTCTCCACACTAAGTGAATTGCGTCATCACGTGCGCTTTTTGAACCAATGGAAAAGTGTGAAATGAAGTTCCGTTTGGTGAGTTCAAATTCACGCGGACTTTCATTAGCAAGAGCACAAGTATTTTGCATCAGAAATTGACGTTATTTTAAACGCGGATTGTTCGTTTATTTTGTTTTTGACACATGAAACGTGCTTCCAGTCATGTCCGAGAACGATAAGTCAGCTGGATTGTGAAAGGTTAAGGTACGTTCCTGCTTCGTAATGTGTCTTCTGATGGTAACCAAGTACTCAAATAATGAAGCTGGAGATCAAAGTGAAATAATAGATCGTTCCGATATCTGAACACGAAACTTCAACATGGCATGGAAAACCATTTATTGGTTCCTTTTTGTTTACTGGAGACATAACTGTAGTCGTTGTTGTAAATGGTTGATGGAATTCTACGTGAATAAGCTAATACTCGATCAGACTCTGGCGGATTTAATACAGTAGAACCTCGATAACTAGAACTCGGATAACTCGAATTCCCCGCTAAGTCGAACTAAATTTGCTTTCTCTTGATCAAGATTTCACTGAAATTTACCCCGATAACTCGAATTCCCCACTTAAAATCGAACTATTTTTCGTTTCCCTTTAGAGTTCGAGTTCACCGCCGAGGTTCTACTGTAGTCATGAACAAGTATGTTTAAACGCCATGTACTACAAGTATTTTAGTTTCCAGTTTATTATTTTGTTCTCAGTTTGAGACCTGAATTAAAAGAGCGGTTTAATAAGGGCTTAGCAGATAAGCCTGCTGGAAGCAAGTTGGCCCGACTTTTTCTTTTTTTACATATATGTTCCCGCTGCAAAATTAATTCAATCAAGACGCTTTTGCTGTATTATTCCAGTTACAAATGTGTCCCACAATTTTTCAGTAATGACTCAAGAACAATTTATATCTCAGGACTTTAATTGTTTTATTCAATTTTTTAAAAAACAAAACATGTACCATAAGATGTGATTTTGAACATTAATATCATAAACTTGTTTAAATGCAATTTCCATGCTTTCTCCAGTTGGTAATTATTCATTAACTTTGCATATACTTTACTATCCTGGCATGGGATGTTGATTGATGACATGATGTTAAACCTGTAAACTCCTAGAATTCCTAGGAATCACTAGGAATTTCTGGGAATTTCTAAGAATTTTTTGTTTTAAAATCTTGTAGGTTGGAATTCCTAGTTATTTCGCAAGGGTTCTAGTGCTTTTGGACCATTGGGAATAAGTGCTCTATGAATACTGTATATTATTAAAAACTGAATCATTGGATAATGCAATTCTAGCAGTTTGATTGGTTTAGCCGTTATGGTATATGAGCTAATATACCATGTTCTCCATATATGGTCGGTGTACGCGTCAGTTTAAAATTGGAAGCTAGCTGAGATTTTTTTTCGCGAAGGATAGAACGGCGCCCGAAGCAAATTGTTTTAATTCATTTCTTAGAATACTAGAAATGCAATTTCAACGAAAGAAAAAAGACAAAAACAAACAAAAAAGCCACAAGAGCTTGTTTGAAAGTTTGTCGAAAAACACATGGAACTAAAGTACCTTGACCAGCTACGAAAGAAGACAAGTGTTGTTTCTTCATGATCGCGAAGCCATTCGCCGATCGAGTCACTCGCCGATAGATAACTGCAGCTTATTTATCCAACATCAAGAATATAAATCACAAGTAACCAGCTACAAATACAGGCTATGCAGCCATTCACTAGAGCAATCGAGGCGGCAGTATAGCTTCTTTTCTCGTTCAGCAAAACCAGCTTGTGGCTTCAAACAACTTCATAACAAGCGACGAGGTAATACCAGTAGTTTTTCTCTGTTGTTCTTACTTTTATAACTGCACCGAAAATCCAAATTCATAGTAATTTCGACGGCTGTCACTTAAAAATTCCTTTCCTTCACATTATCTGCCAGGTTTTTTAAGCTGTTCTGCTGTAAAATCCTAGAATCACGATGAGTTTTTAAAAACTAATGTTCATCGCACAATGTTTTGATTTTTCATTCATGCAGTCTAGGCGAGCCCGTTCGCGCGTTGACAGTTTTGATAGACGTGTGACATGTCAATAGCGGAAGTCCCTTGTCTTTTCCGGTTTGTTCTAGTCGGGGCGATTCAACGAGATTTTGTGGGCGTTTTTAATAAAACAATTATTCCACTCGGGCTTGTTGGATATGAAATGATTATAGCCAACTTGGCGCTATGCGCCTCGTTGGCTATCTATCATCTCATATCCAACGCGCCCTCGTGGAATAATTGTTAATTATTATTATTATTCTAGGAAAACCCACTGTCAAAACGGGTGACCCGAAGAGGTTATTGCACAACGACATTAGTTCATCATGCCTGTACCGAGCCGTAAATTGTGGAAGAACCTGAGCCAAGAGCAGAAAGAAAAAAGAAAGGAAAGCCAAAGAAAATGGTATGCCAAACCAGAAAATAAAGAAAGGAAGGCCATGCTGAACGAGAAATGGTGTCTGGAAAACAAAGAGAAACGCCGAGAAAGCTGTCGAAGGTACAGAGAGAAAAACAGAGTGATGTTGAATCAAAAGACCAAAAAATGGAGGCAAGAAAATAGGGAGACATTCAATGCAAAGACGAGAGCAAGGTATCAAGCCAGAAAGATTGAACAGCAAGTTATTGGGAAAGAAACGAAGTTGAATGCGGATCATGTGAAGGTCGTCATGGCTCGCTGGCCGCACGTGGCAGAAAGAGAAGCCCTTCAGTACTTGTACCCCAAGGAAGTAAAGTATTTGTGGATCAAGGGTCAAATAGGAAACAATCAATAAAAGTTGTTTGTTAAAAGTATTACTGTGTGTTTTTATTGAACCAACGCATAAAGCCATGACACTCGGCCATGCTACAATGAAAGCGACTATTTAAATGACAACCGCAATGAACGGAAAAATGAAAGTAACGGAAATGAAAGTAATAGTCTGGTAAATATTCAAATTTCGGACAACCAAAATCTTCTAAATTTACATAAGGTATCTGTAATTGAATCAAAAGTTTCTTTTCTAATGTTCCTCCCTTGTAGACTACCACACACTGTTTTGGGGTCTTGAATCGCTCCCACAGCGCAAAGACATCTTTGGCCAGGGACGCTTGTAATCCAATACTCCCTCTTTGAAATTCCACCGGTCTTGTTTAAATGTTAACCCAGTCACCATGTCCCGAACATAAATGACAGTTCTTTGCTCTTTTTTGCTAAGGGTCGACCATTTACGGTTGTGCGAATAATGGTGGAATCCCATGTGAAGGCACGACTTGTCACACCGACCCATTTCTCGTACAATAAAATCATCCTCCAAACGAAATCCGTCCAAATCAATACAAAGGCAAATGTCATTCATTCTAGCAAAAGAAAATAATATTGTTACTTGTGAGACTCAAACAAACGAGTCAGTTCTATTTGCGCTTCTGAGGTCATGTCACTGGTTCCCACAATAGCGACATTATTTTGTAAAGAGGGAGAAGCTACATCAAATTCATGCATGCCACCGACTTGAACAAATTCTCGGTCGATATAACTCCACCACAACCATTCCTCATAAATTGAATCATAAAAATAGAGGGGTTTGTTCATGAATTTCGCCAGCTCCACCGTCCATTCGCATAGACCGCATTGCACCCTGGGATCGGTCGTTTTGACCATGTGATCTCTAACCCAGCACCAGGACCAACAAAGCATCATGAACGATATGCCAATGAGTCTTGACGTTGTTAATAAGGATCAGTGAGGATAGAACTTTGCAGGTTTGTAAAGCAACGGCATGAACATCCTTGCTAGCTTTTTCCAATTCGGTCGGGTGAAGGGGCATGATTTTCTTGGCCCAAGTAGAACAAGGCGATATTTTGCTCACACATTGATGATTATGTTTGGCACACAAGGCACTTACAACGGCATTGGTTCCTTTCGGCGCTCCGGTAAAAATGGTCAACATTGTCTGTAATAAAAACAAAAGAGAGAGTTAAATGTCTTTGCCATCCTCTTTTAACATCCACAAACACTCTACTTTTTCATCTGCGTAGTCTGGTTTGGCATGTAGTCTGTGATTAATGTCACGCAAAATGTAAGCCACGCGTCTGCAACTTCCATCACAGTTAGGGTTCCACTGTAGACCTTCCCCTTCCTCATAGGCTTTGTCCTTTTCGTTCATACAACTGCTTTCCCGGCCATTTTTTGATACAAAATGGGCGTGACGTCAATAGGAGGTCACACACGTCCCGATTGTCAAGCTAGGTATAACGTCAGAATAAAATTTGTTGAAACGTGACTTTTCATGTCTCTTACATGACAGGGGAATGTTGGGAGACTTTTCGCAATGGTTTTACATGTAGTACTAACCCCCTGGACGCTGATTGGTCGAGAGTGAATTAATTCAGTCACGTGTTTGAAATACTCGATTCTGATTGGCTGTGTGATGAAGTAGCGACTATGACTACTGATTTCGAACAACCAGCCCGAGAGGGATAAAGTTCCATTAAACAAATATTTGGGGTGTGAAGTTTTTTTGAAAATTTCCATTTTATATTTTAATACAGGCATCTGAAAGCTGAAGAAGATCGGCACAAGTGAGAGATGGATTTTTAGTTAAAGCAAGCACAATTGGAAAATGAACGGCGACGTTCGGAAAGAGAACATGAGATGAATGTTTTAAGATTAATATTAGGTCATGGGCATGTTTCTACGGGAACTATTCATTATGCCCCATGTCAGCCAATTCAATGCATCAGCCGTCTATTCCCACGCACTCTAGTATGGACAATATTTCTGTTTCAGACTCAGATGGCTCAAGATTTGCAACCTTGTAGTACAGTACTGTATGGTTGCTTTTAAGAGAAACGTTGACTACATAGCCCCACTGGTGATGTTTGTTTATACTGTTGATAATGTTTGTAGCCTGCTGCCAGCAGCCCCGGTTAAATTTTGTCTGTTTTAAAATTTCCAAAATCCATATGCAATGTTTTTCCTTCTTCTTAATGTTTGGCATTTTGTAAATGGCGTATGCTGCTCTTCAAGCACAAAGTTGTGTTGTATTATCGGAAATAAATGTTCATAATTTTTGCAAGAAAGTAGCTTTCGTGTATTTCCATATTGTGTTGCCTAGCCGTCCACCTTGGTATCCTGTATATCTGGCTAGAAATGATGGTGTTCATTTATCAACTGTTGTAAAACAACGTTAAGGCACCATTATTATCACTACAAACAGGAACACATGTGTGTGACTGGTTGTTAGCATTGCATTCTTTCCAGCTTGGCAAAACCATTGACACAATAGTAGAGATAAAGGCCCTAATATGTCACTCAAACAACCTTGTCCTGCTTTAACAAATTAAAACCAGGAACTGTGCAATTGGAGGGGATATGGGAGGGGGGAGGGCTTTCGCTGCCCACTTTTCTGAATCGAAACGAGATAATAAATGAAGACAACCTACAGAAGAAAACATTACTTATAACGCTTCCTTTATATGCACTTCGCTTATTAGTTCTAAATGCAATTCCTGGTATGTGCAAGGAATTAAAATCCAAATTTCAACGGGGGAGCCCCTTCCCCCACCTGAGTTTGCTCCATGTTTGGCGTCCTAAAGCGTCCCCGTCTAGCTGCGTGGCTCCTGCGAGCATCATGTGGGACTTCTAATGCAAAGTATTGTGCCAGGGCATCATGGACATCTGTAGCATCATTTCTCAGTGCCGCATCAACAATAGCCACCGGAGGTGGTTGACCAAGAGGAATCTCGTCCAGTTCCCAATCCTCAAAGAACACATTGCCTTGCAGGTCACATATGTTGTGCAATATGCAGGACGCTACAACAACATTCACAAGCGTTTCCACCTGCATATCCACTCTTTTCACAAATTTCTGCAAACGCCCTTTCCACCTTCCGAATGCGTTTTCCACTGTCATTCTTGCTCGGCTTAGCATGAAGTTGAAATGCCCTTCGACATCAGACGTGTTTGAATTCTCTCGATAACCTTTGACAAGCCAGGCAAGAAGTGGGTAGGCTGGGTCACCGAGAAGGAGCGGTTGTATGTCGCACCCTTGCACGGTTTCGCTTACGTCACTGCTAAAAAGGGTATCTTCATTTCCCTTCTTGTATAGACATGAATTGGAAAAAATTCGCGTGTCGTGGACACTGCCCGGCCACCCCACAACAACGTCTCTGAAAAGGTATTTGCTGTCCACAACAGCTTGCATAACGATGCTGTGATAACCCTTCCAATTCACGTAGTCAACATGATCAACTACTGGAGCAATAATCGGAATGTGTGTACCATCTATTGCACCTGCGCACATAGGAAATTGCCACTTGTCCTTGTAGATTCTCATGACCTCATTCAGTTCTTCTCCCTTAGGAATAGTAATGAACTTTGTTTTCATCTTTTGAACAATGACTGGAGACTTCCTTTATGCAGCTACACACAAATGATATAGATACACCAAAAAGATTTGCAATAGTGCGGTATTCTACCGTAGAAGATAAGTTGTTCAGAACAATAGCGAGTCGGCGCCTGGCACTAATAGATTGATGCATTGGCGTATTTCATCGCGTTATGTCACGCTCAATCTCGTTTAAAATGAATTGAAATGTATCTCTGGTAACTCGAAAATTTTCATACCACTGTTGCTCATCAAACTCCATGTCTGCCATGTCAAACCACGCCTGATTACTCGGTCTCACCCATAGGCTTCTTTTACGGAAGTTCTGACAAGCCACGTGCGCCATCGCTGCAAACAACCATTTCTCCTTCCGTATTTTTTCCCGTCTTTCGCCAAGATTTTGATCAATTTCCTTGCTGAACCAGAGATGGCTCTTCCTGTTTCGATTTAAGTCAAATTTTACTCTTAAGATGCGATGCAAGATGACGCTAAGCTGTTTATCCGCCATTTCCCGGGAATAACACATGGAGAGAAGGGGTGTCCATCAAAAGTTGGAACTCTGCCCAGCTGGAGACAAACCTTTTATTTGGGGTCGTGTAAATGGGTAGTGCCTTGCCGAAATGGTTTTGGCACGGTGCCAAAAATTTGGAGTTCCTCGCCGATTTTTTAGCACGTGTAAATGGGGTTTTATTAGCCCCTCAAAATTAGAAATAGGCATAACCTGCAAGCACATTTTAGTGGTCTAGGCGGGACAACTGGGCAACATTTATTCAAAATGGCGCCCTCGCAGCATGGTGCTGGGTCAATACCGGTTTTTCAGGACAAACTGGTTTTGGGAGGAAAGGAACTGCACCACTTTTATTGATGAGCTGAGACCCGGACAAACCGGTTTGAACTGGGACACTTTTGTTAATGAGCTGAGACCTGCACAAACCGATTTGAGCTGGGACACTTTTATTAATGAGCTGAGATCTAGACAAACCGGTTTCGGAAGGATAGAACTGGGTCATTTGGTAAAGTAGAAATTGCCGCAAATAACGTGAAACATCGTCAAACTAATCGAGTTTATGTAACAGGTTTCTACTCTCCTATGGTGGTAGAAATTATTATTTGCGCCCTCTCGCTCAGTGTTGTTCCACCTTGATCTTGATAGTTTTGGCTCTTGTTGTTGTACATTTACTTTCGAACTGCTAATGATGGCTTTAAAAACCGTTGCAGACGTGAAGTCATGGCCCATTGACAAGGGCTTTGAAGAGTACGCCACAAAATTTTACGGTAAGTGATCACACACAATATTGTATAATGGTGGTTGTTGTAATTATATTCATACCAAGTTCAATGCAGTATTGCTAAACCTTAAAAGTTCGATTACGTATTTGCAATAAAGCAACGCCCCTGCGTTTAACCTTTTTTGTATTAAAGCATGCTCATCTTTCTATGCGTTTTATTATTTCTAATTGCGCTGACCGTGGTTATTTAACTAGAATATTAATACAAGCCCTTCGTCTGTACTGGTATTCCGCTTCACGTGAGGTCGAAGATTAATGCAATCTACATCATTTGCATACACGTGCGTTTAGGCGGGAGTAAAATGCGCGCTACAGTCTCTTGGCTCCCAATCTCTCACGGCTCTATTTGTATGTGCTGCTATGAAGCTGTCTGGTTTTCCTCCTGTGTGGCAGGGAAAAACACATAGCCTCGTGGTGTCCCGCTTGTTAATGCAATTATTTGCAGTCTTTTAGCTGTTGTATAGTGCACACTGCTTTATTTTTAACCTTTTGATCCTAATCTCAGGAAAAATATGCAAAAATTGCATAAATTTCTCTTACTGCGTGTGTTGATTAAACTTAATCGCAGCTACATTTTATCTCAACAGAAAATCAGATCGATGGAGCTGGCTTCTTCTCCTTGACCGAAAGGGCTTTGCAGCAATTGATCCCTGTTATTGGGCATAGAATGAAATTTCTAATGGCAATAAAAGATCTGGAAAGTAAAGTGAATAACAAAGAGGATGAAAATGGGGAAGCTGCTGGCCCAGGTGCTGAGCTGTAGGAACCCTCCTGCTCAGAAGAGGGAGAAATGCAAAGGGGGTAAGCTTTACTGCTCTTTCAATCTCTTTTCTCGGTGGGCAGAACGCATGCGCAGTAAGAAAAAACGTTCTAAAACCTTTCTTAAGGCAAAAGAAAGCTAGGAAATCATGTGTAGGAAGGGATCGAAAGTTTTTTAGGTACATGGAAGTGTATTTGCTTGGCAGATGAGAGAATCGGTAATCGAAAGGGAAATAAATCAAAGGTAATTAAATAGTCAAAAACCAGTCAAGTGTTTCGATTGTTTAAAGTAACGAATGTGCTTACAGAAAGATGGCGTTATAGATTTAACAAAGTGTACCATGTGCTCTATGCACATGCAGGGTGGGTCCAAAGCACAAGGGAATAAGGAAAACAAATCAAAAAGTAGCAAGGCTCGGGGAAGGGAAAAGAACCAATGAAAGAGTAATGCGAGTTTATAGAAAAGAAAAACAACGCTAAAAGGAAGCATCATTTCGCTTGAACTCTGTTCACCCCTCAAGCCTTTACAGAAAACTGAAAAAGAACAGAAACAAGTGCAGTCCCTTGAAGAATTAGCCGTGTTAGCTGTACCAAACCCTGGAGAGATCGCGAGACAGTTTTTCTCTCCATGGCAAACAGTAAGGATGGCATTAGAAGAGAGAGAATACTCAGAAATGCGGGAAGAGTATCGAAAGGAACATGCCAAGAAATTCAGGTATGTAATGAAGGAATTAAAGTATGTGGATGATTACAATTGGACATGGAGTTTGTTTCCCAGCCACGTGTTGTTGCTGTTACCGTCGAACTTTTCTGTTTTTTTGTAGAGAGACGCTTATCAACCTAAGAATGTTAAGGGATTTACGCTGGCCGCTTTCCATGAAAATATTTTCGCAAATTTTCCAGTCGATTATCCTTTCTAGGTAGTGAACTAAAAGAATGAATCTCTTTTTGTTTGTAGAGAGACGCTTATGAACATAAGATTGTTAATTATTATACAGTTCCTGGACTCGCGTGGGATACTTCACTCAAGAAAACTAAAATCTGGCTGTCTAACCTGCATGACATCAAAATGCATCAATTTTTGGAGCGTGGTATGCGAGGAGGCATCTCCATGATTACTCACCGTTACGCTCAAGCTAACAACCCACTGATTGAACATGTGGACCTGGAGAAGCCAACCTCTTACATTTATTACCTAGATGCGAACAACTTGTATGGTTACGCACAACCTCTCCCTGTGGATAATTTTGAATGGGTGTCTGAACGTGAGATAGCATCTTTGCATGTCATGGCTGTCACTGATGAGGCTGATACTGGTCACATTTTAGAAGTAGATTTGAAGTACCACCCGAATTACATGACCTCCACTCAGATTACCCACTCGCCCCCCACCCAAAAAATGAAAATCACCCATGCGCTATAAATTCAAAAGAAGATGCCGTGGAATGTAATGCCTCATTTTAGCAATTATTCCAACCGATCGACTAATTTTGTGACAGATAAAGTCAATATGATGCTTCCTTCCATGATAGTTCAGAATCAATCATTATACCCAAATATTTAACAAAGTCCTTCATCACTAGAGTTACTCGAGTATTTAAAGTTGGATTAAAAAATTAAAAATCTTAATTTGAGGAATCAAAGGTAGTCTTTTTTGGCGCGGACGAAAAATGACATAACTAGACTTTTTGACGTTGAGCGTTATTTTATTAGCATTAAGCCGTTCACTTACTTTCTCAAGCTCATTATTGACAGTTTGTTCAAGAGTACGTAAGTTGTCATTTGCATAAGTTAGACTTGTATCATCTGCGAATAGATAAAAAGTAAATTCCTTGGAAGATTTATGGATGTCATTAATATATATAACAAAAATAGCAAGGGTTCAAGTACAGAGCCTTGAGGCACTCCACATACGATCGTTTCAGTTTCAGATATGCATTTCTCTATTTCAATCGACTGTTCGCGATCTGAAAGATATGATCTAAACCAAGAATTTAAAACTCATCTTATTCCATAGTGTTCAAGTTTTGTCAAAAGAATCTCATGGTTAACAGTATCAAATGCTTTCTTAAGATCAATAAAAATTCCACATGAGTACTTTCTGTTGTCCATATTAGAATGTATGTTGTTCACAATATCAAGAATCACGTGCTGGGTACTATGTTTATTGTGAAAGCCATATTGTAAATCATAAAGAATATCATTCTTGTCTATAAACTTTATCAGTCTACGATATAAAATTTTCTCAAATAAACGATTATAAATTGATAACAAAGAAATTGGCCGATAGTTTTCAGGTAACGTCTCGTCTTCACCCTTATACACTGGAATTACTTTTGCATATTTAAGTTTTGCAGGGTAAACTCCAGTTAGTACAGACTGGTTAAAAATTTCGGTTAATGGTATGGATATCACTGCTTTAGCAAGTTTTAACAGTTTAACAGGTGTAGAATAAAGCCCCAGGGCTTTATTCTACACCTTTTATTCTTATAAAACGAAAACTTGAAGCAGAAGCGAAAAACAAACATGAAAGCATTAGAGAAAGAAATGTTCAGATGAGTAGCACAATCACCACGCCATAATCACCAAATTAGCTACTTCACATTTTTAGACCTCAATATCTCGCTTGATATTTGCCATTTTTTATTGAAACTTTCAATATTTATACCTTAAAGGCTGTTCTTTAGAATGGGTTTGAAACATTGCTGCCTTGGGCTTTATGCGAATTAAGAAAATTTTAACTTTTTAATAAAAACAGTACAATTCAATTGTAACGCGTAACAGTTATGGCGGCGTAATCGCCAGTGCATTTTACTTTTGGTTCGATGTTCTTGCCTCACGGTGATAACTGCAGTTGGAACGCTTATAATTAGCAAATTTGAAGACACAATAAATACACTGTTTAAGTTTGAATGAATGTGGTTTACTCTTTGTAATATACACAGAGACTTAAAAACGACCAGTATGTTGTGCGTGTACTTGTAACGCTTGCAGGTTTTGAAGCAACAAGTGAATGTAAAATCAAATTTATCTCGGCTTGATTTCCACGCACACAGATACTAATTATGCCGGAATGATGGGCAATGTTTACACTCTTTACAGTCCAAGTCTGCACTCAATCTGTTGCCCAGAAAAACTCCACGATTAAAAAATACAATTCGGAAACAGTCTGTGTAACGGTTAAGATGAGAAGAAATCAATGGGACCTACACGAAGAATCTGGAAAATAAAATTTCCATCCGAAGGAAGCGAGTACTCACTGTGAGTCCACCGTGATGGGCCTGTGTTTACCCATTACTTCCCAAGAATTCAGGTCTTTCTGCATCATCTAAAGCGAGATATTCGACTTTTTGCAATTCGGAAACACTTTCCGCCATTACCGCTGTGTTCATAAAGCGTAATGAAGAAAATGCGCTGAGGAAAACGACCGAAATCAGGTCTAAAACCATGTAGCTTTTTCACGATAATCGCTTCTTGCTCGAGAGAAGAGTTCGACTTACGTGTTTATAACAAAATGGGGGGGCTTAGAGGGAAAGCAGGGGCAATGATGTAATCCTTGAGAATAAAAATAGCAAAACTTCTGAGTACGTGCGTAACAACACGCGTGGAGTTATTCGCTCGGAACAGAAACAAAAGATCAAGAGTTTGAATGGAAAAAACAAAAGATATTAATGCCACACCACTTTCACGGAAGAAAGCAGCCCAAGAAAGGAAAAAAGAAGAGAAAAGAGAGCTAGACAGGGCATACTACCTGCAGAACCGTGAAAAGAAAATTGCTCAATTTGTGGAACGTAGGCGAGCGAAAGGAGAGTTGTCAAAAAGGCCAGCGCGAACAAGGACCGAAACAAAGAAAACAGAGCGGAAAGAAAAGGTAAAGAAACAGCGAGAACTTTCCCGAGAAAAGCTTGAACAGAAAAGAAAGAAAATACGGCAACAAACCAGGGAAAGGGTCCGTAAATATCGCGAAAGAAAATTACAGAACGGAGAAGAGCAAACAACGGAAGAGACATCGGCTTCAGGCGTGGGCGACGGATTCCAAAACCGGACGTCAAAGAAACGTGCAACTGATAAGGTTAAGGAAACGCTTCCATCAACCCCTAAGAAAAAAGCTGAAGTAATTGAAACACTAGCTAGCAGCCCAAGGACAAGAAACGTGCTGACGAAACGTGGTTTAATAAGATACCCGGAGGAGCAGAAAGAAATTTCCACCCTAAGAGCTCTGGCATCCGACATCTCAGAGGGGTTAAACGTGGTGAAGCACTCGGGATCTACTGAAAAAAGAGCAGCTTTTAGAGCTTTTACTTCCCTAGCGTTTGGAGAAAACATAAAAAAGACAAGGTCGCGGAAATCTTTAGGAAAATTAGTCAACACCAATGAAAAAAGCATAAGTAAGGCGATAAAGACCCGCGAAAGCATTCTGAAAGGAGATTTAGCAAGTTGGCTGTACACTAAAAGAAAATTGCGCCAAGATGCCATTGCAGAAGAAGACAGCAAAAAAATCTTCAACTTCTGGGCAAATAACGCTAGCAGGCCGACAGGAGACAAAAAAGATGTTGTGAAAAAACGCACTGGCAAGCAGCAGTATGTACATCACGCAAAGCACGTGTTAGAAAAAACGCAGACTGAAGCATTTCTTGAATTTCAGCACTTACACCCAGAAGTGAAAGTGAAGCAGAGGAAGTTTGAAAGCCTTAAACCGTTTTTGTGAAACAAGCTACTGAGAGAGATAGGAGATCATGCCTCTGCCGAAAACATGTTGAAACGAAAATTATATTTGATGCCTGCATGAAGTTTCGCAAAGGAACTGGCAAAGAAACAGACAACGATGGCGAGTACCCTGTCCTGAAGACCCTGACAGAACTGGTTGAAAAGACCCTGTGTCCCAAAGAAGAAGGCAAAATGTTTCACAACATTAAATGCCTAGAGAGAGAGTGCGAGTCCTGTGGAGTTGAAACGTTGCAACTGTTGCCGGAGGAAACATCTTCTGAAGGTTCTCTGCGCTGGTCCCGCTATGACTACGTCTCAACTGGAAAGTTTCTAGCAAATGGTCAAGAAAAGAAGAAGATAGCCCTTGTCCAAAAGGAGACCTCACCATCTGAACTCTTTAAGTATTTTAAAGAGCTCCTTGGCTCCTACCCATACCATTCATTTATGGCAAGATGGCAACGTGATCAGCTGGACAACCTGCTAGAAAACCTTCCACTTGGGCATGTAGTCTGTGTGCATGATTACTCTGAAGGATATGCATGCAGGCAACAAGATGAAACCCAGTCAGAGTATTTTGACGTTGCCAAGGTTTCTCTTCATGTTACGATCCTTCACCGACATGCTACAGAAGCTAAAGATGGAGTGACAAGTACAGAAGAGGAACCGCACCTGATTAAAGAACATCTTTTTGTAATCTCTGACGACCCAGTTCAAGATCAGGACAGTGTCCACAAGGTGCAAAACCTTATCCACAGCTACCTTGCTAATGATGTTGGTTGCAACATCATCAAGATGCACGAGTTTACTGATGGTTGTGCGGCCCAGTACAAATCCCGACACTGTATTGGCGACCTATCTTGCTCCCTCGCTGACTTTGGCTTTCACGTTGTCCGCAATTATTTTGAAACCTCCCATGCTAAAGGAGAGCAAGATGCTGCAGGTTCACATGTTAAGCAGAAAGTTAGTCAAGCAGTCCTGCGCAGAACAACTACTATCAAGTCTGCAAAAAGCATGCATGAGTACTTGGAGCAGAATTTCACCCAGCGTGCTGCCTCAAGCTTTAATGCAAGAGCCAATGCCGTTCAGCTGAAGCGTCGTGTCTTCTTCTATGTTCCTGCTGAAGGTGAAGGTGCAGTTGACAGAAACAGGCAAGGAAGAAAGTTTAAGGAAGCTAGAGGGATAAGGAAATGGCATTGTGTGAAGTCTTTACCCCAGCAAGAAAAGGTTTTGGTGAGGTACAGGTCCTGCTACTGTGACAACTGTATTGTTGAGGATGAGGAGAACTGTGCTAACAAGGCTTGGCTGGATGACTGGAAAGAGGTCTCAATCTGCAGAGATGGTTCAGTGGCAGCTACAAGGCAAGCAACAGAAACTAGCATCCTTGACCATGACACTGCAGGCCACATAGCAGACCTTGCTGTGAAGGGGAGCACTGTAGCAATTGCTGCTGATGATGACCCGATGTACGATTTCTTTCTCCTGAAGGTCACATGTGAAGGGGTTAAAGAGCTTGACAGTGACTATACTGATGACTACAACTTTACAGCTTTGAAGGGTAGGCAAGTTTTAAAAGGAAACTTTTACCTCAGGGACAACATACACGACATGACATTCACCCTAGATGAGAAACGTACCGCTGTTGTGTATGCTGCCACTGTACGCCACATTTGCAGAGAACTGCCAGGAAAGAAAAAGGGCAGAAAAACAATATACAAACTTCCTTTGAAGGAAAATGAAGAGATAATTGCCTCTCTTTGAACTAAGTGAACACATATTACAAAGTTACCTTCATTTTGTATCTTTTTTTTTGGCTTTCTTCATCAATTTCTTAAACATTGCTTTACCTGCCACGCCCACATTGCATTATGGGTAAAATTGAAATTTGCTTAATCAGCAGGAAAAATGTAAAAACTGAAAAAATATTGATTGATTAGTGCAACAGACATGAAAAGCCACTGATTTATGAATTGAAATGTTTAAAATATATGACTTCATTATTTTGACCTGTGTTACAGAAAATGTAGTGGTGACTGTGCTACTCATCTCTAGGCTCTTGCCGATTGTGCTAGCATAATTTTTGGCATAATCTGAGGAATTGAGCATAATTTTTGCCCTTTTTCCAAAAGTAGCACTGCTAGCATAATCCGTATATTTTCTTGTCTTAATAGCACAATTTTAGAATAATTCAAGAAAACGAAGATCTCAGCTACTAAAAACGATAGATTACTATTAACAGTTGCTTCCACTCCTATTTTTCGATTTTTTTTTACTTGTGTTGAGATACCGCGGGAGTTCGATGAAACGGAACCGGAAGTCTGTGTCTCGGTCCCAGACTCCTTAGTCTTTCTCCCAGTGCTCGTTTCAAAATGGCGGCCGCCACGCCAAACCAGTCAAGTGCAGTGAACTTACATCCAGATAGTTTACAAGGTTGCGAGAACAGAGAGGATAGACCAAAGCCTGCACAACTTGCCCGGGATAGACGCCTCGAATCCACCACTGGAAAATACAAGAGGAGGGGGACGAGTAATGTCACTAATGTGAAAAATGTCCCTTTGCAAGATCGTATTAATCAGTTCCCTGATCAGCACCTGAGTGTCAGAGGCACAACGATCTTTTGCAATGCCTGCAGAGAAATGGTATCATCCAAAAAGAGCATTTTAGCATCACATTGTAGTTCAAGAAAACATGCCAAAGGGAAAGATGCGCTGAAGAGATCAAGGTTAAGAGAACAAACGATAGCCGAGGCACTCAGCAGAGAGAAGACTCGTAAAGACAACACGCTGCCGTTGGCTGAGCAAGCATACCGACAGGAAGTAGTGGAGGAATTTTTGAAAGCAGGGATTCCAATCGGGAAGGTAGACAGGCTACGTCCTTTGCTAGAGAAAAATGGGTATCGCCTCACTCATAGTGCGCATCTCGGACAGTATGTTTCTCTTATTTTCAAGCAAGAAATTGAGAGAATAAAGAAGGAACTGTCTTTGCCAGGAGAAGATATGACAAGGGACGTTTCAGTAATATTTGACGGGAGCACCAGGCAAGGTGAGGCTATTGCGATAATCCTTCACTTTATTAATGATGAGTGGATGATAACACAGTGTCTTATAAGAATTGACATTTGCTCAAAGTCGGTGAATTCAGAAGAACTAGCAAGAGTTCTCAACGAAGCCCTTTGCGTTGAATTTGGGATCAAGGCGAACTCTTTGCTTGCAGCGATGAGGGATGGAGCAAGTGTCAATCAAGCAGCATTGGATCGGATAGCATTCATCTTCCCAAAGATGTTGAACATTGTCTGCTTTTCCCACACGCTCGATAATGTTGGCAAACATCTGGAAATTCCTACTCTTTTGGAGTTTGGAAACCTGTGGGTACGCTTATTCAGTTACAGCCATAAAGCAAAGTTGGCATGGCAGGATCTAACCGATCGAAAGCCGAAATCGTATAGCGAAACACGCTGGTGGTCAAAATGGGAAGTTTACAGGCAGCTACTGGAGCAGTTTGGAGACGTTGCTGGATTCCTGAATGATGCGGAAGTAGAGAACATTGCTCCAAAGATTGTGGCACAGCTTCGAGCTATACTCTCAGATCCTCAGCGCCTTGTCGATCTTAAGCTCGAGTTGGCTGTGACCATTGATGTAGGAGCGCATTTTGTCAAAGCTACATACTACTTGGAAGGTGACGGGCCCCTTGTGTTTTCATGCTACGAGAAGTTAAAGGCTGTCGCCGAGGCATGCCAAGCTCCGCACTTTCCTAATGTACGCGCAGTTGCTGCCGCAATTGCCAACGAAGATGCTACTCAGAGAGCCGCGGATCTAGAACGGAAGGCAAAAGCTTGTGTACAGCCGGCTATACTTTGGTTCTTGCAGAAGTTTAACGTGAAGCTCTATGACACCGTCATGGCCTTCAAAGCTGCAAGAATCATGTGTCCAGTTGCCGTTCAATGGATGAGGCCTACGCCCGCCACAGTAGAAGCCCTAAGGATTTTCCCTTTCCTCGACAATGATGCAACTATCAATGGCCTAATTAGAGAGCTTCCACAGTACGTCGCTGCTGCTCAGGATGTGGTCATTGAACAAGAGGAAAAGAAGGTGGAGTGGTGGCAGGCCCACGCAGACCGTCTCCCAAATTGGTCCAACCATCGTCTGCTGCCGCAGAGAGAGTATTCAGCATCCTGGCAGCTTCATTCAATGATCAACAAGATCGTGCACTTGCAGATTACTTGCAAGCAAGTGTGATGCTTCAATATAACAAGCGCTAATTAACTGTTAGAGAACGAATTAGAGAAGTCAAGCCGGACTGCGTGGTTCAGAAACGAGCGAGATTATTCAATGTTAAATTTGTTATCCAGGGCTTTGTCAGAAACTGCACGGTTAAGTTTTCACTGTATTTGTTTTTATTTGTTTTGAAACCCAGCACGCACAGTTCGTTGTTGCTAGCGCGCGCACAGTTCGTTGTTTACTTGAAATTTGCATACTTTACCATGGTAACTGGAGGCCATTTGAGTGCAAAACCTTGCGCAAACAGTGTCACGCTCTGCTACACGCGATGGTTAGCAACTAGCAAGCTATCCGCGGATAGTTATCCACCACACTATCCAGGCTTTGTGCAACCTACTTTTGTTCGCTGGATAACTATCCGCTGGATAGCAGATTTATTCGCCGTATAGGCCCAACCACCGGATAAAGTTACCCAGGTTTTGAACAACCGGGCGCAGAACGTCTGGCCAGGGTTAATAAAATACATTTTCAAACTTGTCTTGTGAGTTGTGAAGTTTGTGCACAGAATAATTTTTTAAAAAAGTAGCATAATTTTGAAAAGCGAGCATAATTTGAGCATAATTTGGGCAAAAAACGAGCACTGCCACTAGCATAATATGCCACTTTTACTAGCACAATCGGCAAATGCCTACTCATCTCAATGTAAAAAAGCAAAACGTGCAGTCGACCATTCAGTCAGACAATATGGAGGGTTAATTACCTAAACAACACCAAGATGGCCACTTAAGACAGAGAGAAATAAACATGACTTGAAGCAACAGATATAACGTAAGACGTGGGAAAAAAGTGAACGTGCACCTTAGCATGATAAATAAAGTCTTTAGGGAAAAACAAATGCGTCATAGAACCTGCCTAGCTCAGTGAAATGAACATCGATTGACGTCAATGGTATACACTTAGGTGAGCTTTATGCAAATTCTGCTCAAAGGCCGAAGCTCATGTGGGCATAAATTTCGCACAGTGAGCGATAGCTGTTCATTCAGCACAAGCAATTGTACAGTGCTTATCAAGAACAAGACTTGTTAACGAGATACTGGCAAACGATAATCAAGCCTCGGACAGTCAAATTGACGGTAAGTAATCGCTGGTAACAAGATTCATTGAGTTTGAGCGAACAGAGATTGAGTAAAGTTTGCTTTCTTTATTTAGCGATTCTAAATGAAAGCAATCAAGACTTGAATACAGTAGACGGTAAAATTGAAGGTAAGTGTCTTAAAAGTATATAAGTGTAAATTCACTAGCAGAAGGTATTAGGAATTAGCTGAATGTAACCGAATGAACCTGAAGTTCTCGGAAATAACCGAAGGGAACCAAATGAACCCTACGTGCTCTGAAGCGAAAGAACCCGACGTTCTCGGAATTAGCTGAAGGAAAGCAAAGTTAGTCGAAATTCTCGGAAATAGCCGAAGGGACCCAAAGTGCTCGGAAATAGCAGAACGTAACCGAATGAACCCGAAGTGCTCTGAATGAGCCGAAGGGAACCGAATGAACCTGAAGTGCTAGGAATTAATCGAAAGTAGCAGAAAAACAAAAATCTTAATAGACACTGTCGTTTTCTATCTTTTATAGACCTTCTTAAAGAGGATATTCTGTTAGCTGCAGCTCGCAGATATGACCAGCGGGGAGGGAATCCCATCTTTGGTGCCATATTTACAGCAGCCGGAAGAAATCGTTCTTTCATGATGTGGTTGAGCAAAAGAAATACCGTGTTACCTTTGTCCAACTGTGAACACCAAATGAGAATGAACGGCTTGGGGAAGCATTAACGGAAGCCATACCACAGGGGTTAGAACAAGTGGTAGAGACCGAAAACATAGACCCAGCTCAGTATTGTCTACTTCTAGCCATTCATTCTAAATCATTTACAAACATATGGGCACAGTCCTCACGACATGTTCCATTGAATGAGCAGCTTCACAATCAAGATTATGCACACAGTTATTTAGAGCAGTTAGCCCGCAAATTAAATTCAGCCCAAGTCATGGATCCAGAGAGGGATGGGTTCTTTGTCGAGCTCACATTTGTGAAAAGGTTGGGACGTGGAGGAGGAAATGGGGGTAACCTGAAAATCCCAGGAAAAAGACATGGAAGCAAATGGCCAAAAAGAAGAAATGCATCATGCAGATCCAAAACAAAGACGACCTCTGTGTTACTGCCAAATATTTTCTGGTTTTTCGTATTTCCTTTCGAACCCTTTTTAGTTTCATTTGCGTTATTATCTTATAGTATTTGTGGTTTTCGCCGCGGATATACCTGCTTACATATGATTTACAAACAAAGAAATCTATTATCGTTTGTATTAGTTAGCATTGTCGAACGTGCTCAAGAAACTTTTTCAGTTCTAGTCAATGTGTCATAGTGTTAAGATCAAAGTAAGGCTCAACCTCAACGCTGTAAAATCCCTAAAGCGGACACAGAAGTAAGTCCTTTCACTTTGTGCATGATATGTTACGTTTTATAACACCTTTTTTGCATCGTATTAATGAAATCCAAAGTTTGTTTTCGTAGTTTTAAGGTAGTTTCTGATTAATCTAACTATAGTTTTCGCTGTATTTACTTCTTAGTTTTCGAAACTGCTTCGTACATCGTTCTTCGTTTACACCGCCTAATCATCGCTTTGCTTCGTATCGCCTCTTTTCAACATTGTTAACGTCTCATCGCTTCGCTTCAATAAACTTTGTTTACATCCTTATTGTCGTGAGCATCATTATTGTAGCGAAAGTTCTTAAAGTGCGTCAAGAATTTTCTGTCTTAACGTGGGATTAAATGATCGTCCTGTGAGTAACGTTTTGCGCTCACACTCTGTTTGGCAAGAGCCATACTTACAATGAAAGAATTAGCCGATAAGGGGTCCCCCATTAATAATAATAAAAATATAAATTTAAAATGTGGAAGA